ATTGCCAATGCAAAGATACAAAAGAGAATAAGAGAAGAGGAAAATCAAGAGATCTCTTCCAGAAGATCCAAGAAATCAAAGGGAAATTTAAGCCTAGGTTAGGAATGCTGAAGGGAAGCACAATCTCAGACCAGGATCAAATAACAAGAAGGTGGAAGCAGTATTCTGAAGATTTATACAGAAGAGATAAATAGATGACAGACTCCTTTGAAGAGGAATCCTATGATAAATAATTGCAATTTTAGAAAGTGAAGTGAAAGATGTTCTAAAAGCACTGAGAAGAAATAAATCACCAACTGTAAACAGGACACAGACAGAACTCTTTCAAGTCACAGAGACTGAAGCTATCAGAATCCTAACAGGAATATACCAACAATTATAGAAAATAAAACAATGGCCCACAAATTGGAAACATTCAATATACTTTCCAATCCTCAAAAAAGGAGATGCTAAGGAGCCCAGTAACTATACAACCGTTGCTCTAAGTTTCCCATGCAAGCAAAGTGATGCTCAGGGTTTTGCAACAAAGGCTTCTATCTTATATGAGGTGAGAAATGCCTGATATTCAAGCTGGATTCTGAAAAGGGAAAGGCACTAGAAATTATATTGCAAATATCCATTGGCTATTGGGCAAAAAATTTTCAGAAGATCAGTCTATGCTTTATAGATTATAGCAAAGCTTTTGACTGCGTGGATCATGAAGAACTATGGATGATTCTGAAAGAAATGGGTATGCCACAGTACCTGATTGTCCTGGCGTATAATCTCTGTATTGCAAACAAGAACCTACTGATAGAACACAATAAAAGGAGAGATAGAATGATTTACCATGGGCAAAGGTGTCAGATAAAGGTGCATTTTATCTCTCTATCTGTACAATCTGTATACAGAAAGCTTAAGTAGATTCAGATGAAGAAGTAGTGAAAATTTGTGAAAGAAACATCAATAATTTAAAATATGCAGATGACACCATCTTACTGGCAGAAAGCAGCAATGACTTGAAAAGACTTTTAGTGAAAGAAGAAAGTGCCAAAATAGGACTGTAGTTGAACATGAAGAAGACAAAAATATAATTACAGACAAACTACTTTAATGTTGACAATAAAGAAACTGAAGTGGTGAACAATTTTGTATACCTTTGCTCAATCATCAATCAAAATGGAGAATGCAGCCAAGAAATCAGATGTAGACTGAGATTTGGTAGGGCAGCAATGAAGGAATGAGAAAAGATCATAAAGTGTTAAGATGTGTTACTGGAGATCAAAATTAAGATCATTTACTCTTGTATTCCCAATAACTATGTATGAATGAGTGTGAAAGCTGGACAATAAAGAAAGCTAATGGGGGGAAATTATTCTTTTGAAATATGGTGCTGGAGGAGAGCTTTGCAGATGCCCTGAACTGCCAGAAAGACAAACAAGTGGGTTCCTAGAGGAAATCAAGCCTGGCCTATCTCTGGAAGCAAAAATGTTGAAAAGGAGATTGTTCTACTTTGGGCACATTGTGAGAAGGCAGGATTTTCTGGAAAAACCGGTATTGTTGAGAAGGCAGGATTCTCTGGAAAAAACGGCAATGCTGGGAAAGGTGGGAGGCAGCCAGATGGACACCCTACAAATAAACTTTCTGGGCTAAAATATTCTTGAAACAATTTTTGAGGGCTTTGCGGATGCCAGTGATCTCCAAGTGTAATGGGGGAAAAACATTTGGCCTAAAAGCACATATAGTGTTGCCTCGCTTGACGAGGATAGTTCGTTCCGTTGGAATTGCTGTTAAGCGAAATCCTCATCAAGCGAAACGAAAAAGCCCAGTGAAATGCATTGAAACCTGTTCAATGCGTTCCAGTGGGCTAAATACCTCAGCATCCAGCGAAGATCCTCCATAGGGGCGGCCATTTTCGGTGCCTGTAAAGCAAGGAATCCCTCCTAAAACACAGCGGGGAACATTTTGCACAGCGGGCGGCCATTTTAGAGCCAACGATCATGGCCATTTTAGAGCCAACGATCAGCTGTTTAAAGATTGTTGTCTAGCAAAAAATCGGTTCCAGATCATCATCAAGCGAAATTTTCCTATCTAAACATCATTTTGTGATCACAAAAGTGATCGCAAAAAATTCATCATCAAGCAGTTTCGTCGTTTAACGAGGTAATCGTTAAGCAAGGCACCACTGTATTGCCTGCTCCTGTACTAGAGAGATAAAACTGGCCCCAATCTTCCTGAAGTTGCCACCTTATTTTCTGGCTACTTGACAAACACTCAGTGTAAGACACTTTCACGTGATTAAATTAAACAGGTAACCTGAGGCTCTGTAGGAAGGAATTCCATTACTTACTTTATTGTTATATGTTATATTCAATTATCAAACTCTGAAAAGATACGGCTTCAGGGAAAGAGATGGGCTCTCTAAATAGCTTCAGAGCCTGGATGGATAAGTCCAACAGGCCCAGATTGGTCTATGTGCTGTAATGCTGCAAATGTATATTGTGAAACATTGAGTTGCCATAATTATTATACCTCTTAGGTAGAGGTGACAGTTACTATGGGACTGCAGATGCTCTACAAATCATGAAACAAAATAATTAAAACAAGGAGTCCTATCACTGCCATGTATTCCATAGAGTCAGGGCTTCAGCAAAACAACAACAACAACAACAACAATAATAATAATAATAATAATAAATGAAGAAATGGGTGAAGGAAAGAAGAACTTTCTAGCTCCCTTGCATGTGATGGAGAAACTTAAGGACTTATGGTCATTTATGCTAAATAATCAGCAACAGGAGTGACTCAGCCGGCAGATTCCTCAGACAGCATTCTTCTTTCCCTGCTAGGTTATCAAATCCTTTGGACTATTAAAAGTAAACACTAGCCACATTCTACATTCTGGAAAGACAAAAGTGTAGAATTGCGCCCCCCCCCCTGCATGAAAACATTCGTTGTTGAATGGGAATCGTCCTTATCTTCCAACTGAAATGAAGGTGAGGCACAAATTACCACCCTGGATCACTTTCACTGCTCAGGAATCTCCTCAATCTCTCTTTCTCCTCGCTTCAGTTCTACTTCCACCTTCTTGGGGCAGAGCGCTCTCTTGCAGCCATGTTACTCTGTGAATTGGCCTACACGCTAGGAATGATGTTCCTCAAAAACCTGATCGCCAGTATGCGTATGGGTCTCTCTCTCTGTCTATCTCTATCTCTCTCTCTCTCTCTCTCTCTGTGTGTGTGTGTGTGTGTGTGTGTGTGTGCGTGCGTGCGTGCGTGTGTGTGTGTGTGTGAGAGAGAGAGAGAGAGATGGAATCATTTTATGGCAAGAGAGAGAGAGAGAGAGAGAGAGAGAGAGAGAGAGAGAAATGGAATCATTGTATGGCGATTTGCATAAACCCTTTATGTAGGTGCCCTAAATTGACAGTTTCATTGGACAAAGTTATCTTCTGTGAACACATATGTGCTGGGAAACTGACCAATCACTGCTACACAGAACAAGCAAGCACGGCAAACCTTCCAAATGAAAACCAGGCAACAGATGAATTGTCACTCAGCACAAGCTTAGAAGACTCCCTTGCTCCAAGGAAATAACGCAAGGGAATGCAAAGGCAGGCCTTGTTGCTTAAAAAAAAATCGGATACAGGGAACCACAGTAAGTTCAAAGCGAATGGGAATTTCCCCGACTTGTTTGCTTTCCTTCCCATTGTTTGCACTGTTATTACATGACTGGCTGCCTTGCTAAGTCCAAAGGTCAACATGAGTTAGAGAACAGCCATCAGTTTCTGCAAAAGGATGCAGAACCTCTGCGGGGAAGGTGAGACCTTCTGGATATTGCTGGATTACAACTCCAACCATCCGTCACCACTGGCTATGTTGGCTGGGGCTGACAGGATCTGGAGTCCCACAATAACTTAAAGACAGATGCTCTACATCTCTGTACTATAGGCCAGTGTCTACTAAACTTACCTTAACTTCAAAATATGATCTACACTATCCTCTAAATTTTGCCTCTCCAGGGGATCAGAAGGAAAACTCTTTGGCTGTTGCTTTCAGGAGCTGAAGTTCAAAACATCTGGGCAGCCAAAGGCTCTGTGTCTAAAATATATTTCCATAGAATGTCATCCATAAAGGCACAGCTTGAGAGGAAAAAAGAGAGCTGGGAGAAACCAAGGGACAAGATTCAATCTTTACTTTTAAGCCACTGATGCAAAAGGGAGTGTTTACGTACGGGGTGAGGAATCCAGGTTCCAAATGAAAAACGATTGTTGCTATAAGCATAAAATTTCAGCATTTACCACAGTATATCAGGCAAAAAATCAATTATATTTCAGTTTAGGAGACAGGCATTTCTAATTTTACAAATGTCATTTTCTAGACCTTGGAGATACTGTAGGTTTGTTATATCAGCAGAAGCATCAGGTGTTTCCTGAACTGTGTTGAGCTTATAGGTGTAAAAATAATATGAAACATCCTTTGCAGTAGCAGCAATGCCCTGTTAGGTAAACAGGTGGTTATCACTGCAGAGCGAGACTGACACAGTAAAGAGGAAGGATGGCTCTAGTCTATCCTCAGTTCACCTCAGCGCTTCTTCTCAGTAGGTCACCGTCCTCAAATGAGCCCCAGCAGAAGTTTAGAGCCCTCAATGTAAAACAACGAAGGGGACATCTAAATGGATCGTTCCCCCAGGTCCCCAAGCACCACTCCACCCCAGCTACAGAAATACAAAATTACATAATTCTTAAAGCAATAGCAGCTATAACTACCAACTTTAATGCAAAGAGCTAAAAGATTATGTGAGCATTCTGAAGAGAAAGGTGATAAAATCTACACCAAAGATGGATAGTATTTGGTTTCTTGTCTTCTTGCACATAGCACCAGAAAAACTGAGAGAAATCAATGGCAGGACTCCATCATGTGTTGGGCTATCCATAAACCCTCCCTCCTCCACCACCTCTAGGTAGCTAACACCCCTCAGGAGATAGCTGTTCAAGCTTCCAAGGCTACCCTCCATGTTCCTACCTGACACCAATGGGCTGACTCTTCAGTTCGTAGAAGCTGTCACTGCTCAGTGAGAGGATGTTCTCCAGATCAATGTCGGCCACGATCCCAGACTCTGGGAGCACAGAGTTGAGGCTGTTGGAAGAAATACACAAAGGAGTGACTCACAATGGCCAATTCTATTTTTTTTTAACTCTACAGGCTGTTATCTCACTTGATAAACCAAAACTCTAGCCCTATAAGCCACTCTCTGGATAACAAAAGATTGTCAACAACAGATACTCTCCTGGGGAGATCAGACCAGGTGTACTCACATACGTTTCAGTTACCTGCACGGTAGACTACCATCACCATGTTTTGCATGGGCCCGTCCTTAAATGCCATTCTGGAAACTGAGATGCTTTGAGAGCTAAAAGGCTCTGGGAATCCTAGTCTGAAAAAGGAACATTTTCAACCTCTGTGCTAGATGTCAACATGAGATATGTTAGTCGTGTCTTGGAACTAGATTACTGCACGGACACCCCTCGTCTCCTCTTTGGCATTGCATTCCCTTATTTCAATGGCTCCCAAGAATCCAGGTGTTCTTGGACTGCAATTCCCAGAAACTCCAGCCAGCACAGCAGGTGGCAAAGGCTTCTGGGAATTGCAGTCCATAAACACCTGGGTTACCCATAGTTGGGAACCACTGCCTTACGTGATCAACCTTTGGCAAGCATCCCCAATGAGTAAGGCATTCTCAGCTGTAGCCCAACAGAATGCTCTCCCGAGGGACCACCCCAACACTGAAGCTGATCAAAACATGGCTTCCTAGAGAGGCGTTTGATTGTTTCTGCTGGCAACAGTTGTTGGCATTGCTTTTGTTTTGCTCTTCATGGTGCCAAAGTGGAGCTATACCCTTTTAAAAACCAATCTGCTTGACTTTTCACATTTTGATAGTCCTGTGTAAAATTGACGAGCGGCTGGCTGTGTTCCTGGGCACATGCCCAGCAGCACAATCTGGCATGCGCCTAGGAATACAATCAGCACCTTATTCATGAGTGACAATTTACTGCTAAGTCTTAAGCAATGTCCCTTAAACAAGCATACATTGGCAGTGGGTGTCTACCCTGTGACTTCCAACTGATCAGGCCAGATACAGTACTGTATTGGGAATCACCAGCAGGTGTTTCTTTTGGTTCCTCTCATGACCTGCCTATAAGCTTCCCAGAAACATCTGGCCGATCATAGTGGGGAACAAGGGTGATGAGCTAGAGGGATGGCTGCGGGATCGTAGCAACTGTAGGCCAACACTACTTCTCCCCTGTCTGCTTCGTTAGTTCTATTGGACTCCCGTTATTTGGCATTAACGCAGACCATTGTATGTCATAAATACCCTAGTTGTCTAAATTCACTGATTGCCTCTTCCAGGATAGGGCTCATTTCCAGACAAAGGAACTGGCTCAAAGTAGCTCCTAGCTACTCACACAATTTAAGACTGATCATATGTCATATGCACTGACATTCTGAACCTTGGTCTTGCATCTCAGAATTGAAGGAGAGTGATAGGATTCACGAGACATCCTATCTCACTGTCACCCACACCCATGACAGGATCCACAGACAAATGCTGGCTGGGAGCCAAGTGGAGTCTCTGACTGCCTCACGAACCACTCTTGTATAGCACAGAAGAGGCATTAAACCTTGTATGGAATTGGCAACCAAACCTTGATGACTGAGCAAAGGACAGAAATGAGAAACATCTGGGATTCTGTCCCCCCCCCAGCTACAACGGCCCAGAATCCCACAAATGTCTAACTAAATGACGCCAGGGTTCTGCAAATTTTAGTAAGGAAAAAAAGGAGGGGGGGGGAGATCTACATTTCCCATTTCTCTTTATTATTTATTTATTTAACATATTTTTTTACCCTGCCTTTCTCCTTAAAAATGACCCAAGGTGGCTTACTTCATTAAAAGACAATATTTAAAGCTAAAAATAATGAGTAGACAAAGGCAGCTTACACCATTAAAAGACAATACAATATTCAATGCTAAAAGCAGTAAGTACACAAATATTTTAAAAGATCAAACAAATACCACTCTGATTGCCTTGGGTTGTTTTAAAAAGAAAAAAGTGAGGGAGTAAAAATATTTTTTTAATAAATAAATATTCCTGATAATGCAGAGGTGGTGGGAAAAATTCCAAACTCAAAGAGGAAAGTATAGAATGGCTGTGATAGATATGGGTTCAAAAGAAAAATACTTTGCCACAGAATACTTTGCCACAGAGTGGTCGCAAGACCAGATAGGCGGGGTATAAATAAAATAAATAAAAAAACAAATATGAGGAAGTGAAAGAGAAACCTGCTAATCGCTGAGAGAATGTTAAAAAAATCTCACCAAAAAGGAAGTAAGCAATTTTGGTGTCTGACCACAGAGAAAGCAGACTTTGCCTGAGAAAACTAGTAAACGTGGGGGTTACTGATCACCAGATTCGGGGCTACAGGACCGGCCTTTCCTTGCCCCATTATGCAAGAAAATTAATCGACCTGTCTTCCTTTCTCTAGGGGCCAAGCATGATTCAGAAAAAAGAAAGTCTTCTCTCGGAAGAGGAATCTAAAAACATTAATGAAGGTGCATACAAAGGAATAGAAATAGGTGCTCTGGGGTAAAAAGCTCAATTACTTTAAAATTATTGAAATTACATCAAATTGCTTTCTAAGCATAATAACCAATTTAAGAATATTGCATTTATTAACCTTTTCAAGTGAAGAAAAGGACTGTTTTTAATTGACAGTCAATATGGGAAATTTGATGGGCCTTCCATCTTGAAGGCACATAAGAGCAACAAACACTTCTAACAATACCACATAATATTTACATAGCACACTGCAAGTGCTCAAAATATTGCATATGGATTAACTCCAGTGCTGGGAAACATGGGATCCTATAGTTGTTGCTAAATAATTTTTATTAGTTAGCCCAGTGGTTCCCAACATTGGATCCACAGATGTTCTTGGACTACAACTCCCAGAAATGCTGTCCAGCACAGCTAGTGGTGAAGGCTTCTGAGAGTTTTAGTCCAAGAACATCTTGGGCACCCAAGGTTGGGAAGCACTGAGTTAGCCTGCCCAATAACAAGAAATAATGGGGCTCATAGTTCAACAATATTTGGGTCCTCCATTAATCCTTGCAAAAAAAACCCTTGTAATGTAGATCAGTATCATTATCCATATACAGTGATGACACGTTTGACGACGATAATGCGTTTCAGCAAAATCGCTGTACAGCGAAATTGTCGTCAAGCAAAAAAAAACCCATTGGAATGCATTGAAAACCGGTCAATGTGTTCCAATGGGGGAAATACCTTATCGTCCAGCGAAGATCCTCCATAGGGCGGCCATTTTCAATCCCTGTATTGGTCCAGAAAACAGCGGGGAGCCATTTTGCGAACCGCCAATCAGCTGTTTTTAAACATCATCAAGCGAAAAAACGGTTCCCAAAGCAGGGACCAAATCATCGTTAAACGAAAATTGCCCATTGGAACCATTGTTTTGTGATCGCTATAGCGATCTCAAAAAAGGCATCATAAAGCAATTTCGTCATCAAGCGGGGTCATCGTCAAGCGGGGCACCACTGTATATGGGTGAGGCTGAGATTTGGCAGTTGTCTGGTGAGATTGTGACAAAGGCAACACTTGAACTCAATCTTTTTAGGAAAGTAAGGTTTTTGTTGGAACACTATTCTGCCAGAGAAGCTTGCCTGCCATTGGTTTTATTTCCTTTCTGGTGCCATTCAGTACCTGGCAGCCCTCTGTATTTCAGAGGAGATGTGCATAGTTAGGAAAAATATATTCTGTCCTTGGAATCCCCATGGAGTTTTATATAACCCGAAACAGCTAAATGTAACAAACAGATGAGGTGCTAGGGCACATCTTCCTTGTGCAATTGGGAACATTACCATGCATGTCACCGAGATGTACCCTATCATTTCATTGAAGAACCATGGCAAGTGACACAAACATGATACAGACACTAATAGGAATCTGGCCGCTTTAATTCAAAATACTGTACAGTAAACAAAAACAATTACACCAATTGATGGTTGTTGTGGTGGGTTTTTACACCAATTTTTTACACCAACTGCTTCTTTCGTATATTGTGGACCGCAACATCTTAGCAAACAGTAGCAAACACAGATTAAAATAAATATTTTGTTTTTCTTAAAGTTACAAATGCTTGGATTTGGTTTTAGTTGCAATATTTGGAATTCTAAATAAAATTATTAGGTTTTGAGAGGGAACGTGGCATTTTCGCAACTATCAAAAGGGGCATAGCTTTAAAAGTAAGTTAAAGAGACACTTATCTATACTGGCTGAAGATCTATCAATTCCTAAGCATCTACAGCTGGAACTAGAAAAGTGAAGATCAGCAAATGTAAGAAGGAAAGGCTCTGACAGAAATTCATCTCCTAAGGCTCTAGCACATTCTGAAGTGTTCATGCAGGCGCAAAGTAGCACCCAATGTGTGATTTCACAGAGGCCATGATGAAGAAACATTAAGTACCACAACGGCAATGTTGGAATGGTTGCGTTGTTACATGCCATCATGTCAGAATTGTCTTACAGCCATCCTTAATAGGGTTTTCAAGGTAAATGAGGTATTTGAGGAGTGGTTTTACCAGTTCCAGCCTCCATGAGTTTCCATGGCAGAGCCAGGGAATTGAACCCATGTCCCCCAAGTCCTAGACCATTATGCTATTCACTACATCACACTGGGTGCCCACTGAAATGGCACTATGTAATAATAATGATTATATGCCACCAATATATGATGACCCTTCCCCAAGGTTTTCTAGGTATAAAGTCCTCATAAGTGGTTTGCCAGCACCTCCTTCTGGTGGTTCTCTGAGACCAGACAGGTGGCCCAAAAAGTACAGAGGTGGCAGGGGTGCCTTCCTTCATCAGCCACAACACGCTCCAGACAATCTCTGCTGGTGGCAGGGGTGCCTTCCTTCATCAGCCATCAACACGCTCCAATCTCTGCCAGCCCTCTTCCAGGAAGCTCAAAGGGGTATTTAGGCTGCGAAACCTTGGCTCTACGGCCAGGTGCAGTATTTAGACTATGTACTGTAGTTTGGATTGAAATCCCTGTTAACTC